AAGATTCTTTGAAATAGTAAGATGTTATATGTATTTAATATTTAATATAAAACATATGAATGGAGCACAGGGAAGTCTATGAAGACATAAAGCAGACTGGTGGTTGCTTAGGACTGGTGGGAGAAAAAAATGGGGAGATGAGAGTTAAAAGGTATAGTTTCTTCTAGAAACTCTGGAAGTGATGAAAATGTCCTAAAATCAATTGATATGATGGCTGCTCAACTCTGAATATTCTACAAACCACTGAACTGCACACTTCAGATGGTTAAATGATGCATCTAAGGGGCCAGTGCTGTGGCGTAGCGGGTAAAGCTGCCACCTGCAGTGATGGCATCCCATATGGGCACCAGTTCGAGTCCCAGCTACTGCACTTCCAATCCAGCTCTCTGCTATGGCCTGGGAAAGCAGCAGAAGATGGCCCAAGTCCTGGGGCCCCTACACCTGCGTGGGAGACCAGGAAGGAACTCCTGGCTCCTGGCTTTGGATTAGCACAGCTCCAGCCATTGCGGCCATCTAGGGAGTGAACCAACGGATGGAAGACCTTTCTCTCTCTTTCTCTCTCTGCCTCTGCCTCTTTCTTTCTGTAACTTTGCCTTTCAAATAAATAAATAAATAATACCTTTTTTAAAAAGCATTTAAAAGGAGGTATGAGTGTATACTTCAGAATAAAAAGATCTTCTTAGATGGACACACAGACAATCCAACATACACATATGAGCACTGCAAGATCCACTCATCATTATTATTCACTCCTAAAGGGTGATATTAGAGTCCTCACGGTTAAGACCCTAGAAAATCATTGCCTAGGAAAAAAAGACTATTTCATAATTCTCCACCATAATAATAATGAAATCAATGGCTTCAATAAACCTAGCACAGGCTTCGGGTCAAACACTGGTGCTATTTCTAGTGTCAAGAACAAGAACAAGGGGTTGGCGTGGTGACAATGCAGGTCAATCTACTGCTTCTGACACTGGCATCCCATATCAGAGTGACTACTCCAACGCTAATCCAGCTTCCTTTGAATGCACCACGCAAGGCAGTAGAAAATGGCCCAAGTACTTAGTTAGGCTCCTGCCATCCACAATGGAGCTCTGGATGGAGTTCCTGGCTCCTGGCTTCAGATACCCCAGCCCTGGCTATTGTGGGCATTTAGAGAATGAACCATTGGATGGAAGCTTCTCTCTCTCTCTCTCTCTCTCTCTCTCTCTCTCTCTCTCTCCTTACTCTGACACTCTGCCTGTAAAATATTTTAAAAAGAAAACAGAGAAGATTTGATGAGATATTCATGTATATGGACTCTATCCCTCCTAGAAATTCAAAAAATTGTCTGGAATTTGGAGCTCCCATGTGGTACATTTCCCGGGTGAGGGAGAAGGGACACAAGGCCACAATCAAACCTTCTCATTCCCGTTCTCCAGGCCTTTCCACCAGCCCAACCTCTTTCCTGAATCACACAAATGCCAAATGTTAACGCTGGACCATGCAATCCTCATCCCGAATTGTACCATATCGCTCTTCACCAACATCCCCCACTCCCAAACAACCTCCCTCCCTCACTGTCAAACTCCCAGTTCCTGCACTGACACCAAAAAGCCAGTTGCCCACAGAGGCAAACACAGAGCAAAGGTGACGATCCACAAGGTTCCAAGGTAGAAAGGGCTTGGCTTGGGGGAAAGTGAGTGAGAACTCTGTTGCAGAGAGGCGGGCCTCCTGTGGTGTACAGTATCCAAACAGTAGAGCTTGGGCCCTTGCACCTGCGTGGGAGACCCAGAAGAGGCTCCTGGCTCCTGGCTTTGGATCAGTGCAGCTCCAGCCACTGTGGCAATCTGGGGAGTGAACCAGCAGATGGGAGACCTCTCTGTCTATGCCTATGCCTCTCTGTAACTCTGCCTTTCAAATAAATAAGTAAATCTTTTTAAAAAATCAATATTTCAAAAATAAAACTTGACTTTTACCAACATTAAAATGCTAAAATAGCACGGGTCAATGTTTTCTAAAATGCTTACACTACAAAGCTAAGAAGATTTGCAATAAATTCCATAAAGAACTATACGTCACTGATAACCACTAGTTACTCCTAAATAGTCAAGATGAATTTAATACTCAGAGGACATTTTATAGACCATATGGGGACACATTTTAATATCTCAGACCCTATCTAGTACATTTAGAAATGTATGCTCACAGTATAAGCCATGAACTTAAAAATTCTATATATTTTAATATTTATGTGGCCAGCATTGTGGCATAGCAGGTAAAGCGGCTGCCCACAACGTCAGCATCCCACACGGACACTGGTTTGTGTCCTGGCTGCTCCACTTCCAGTCCAGCTCCCTGCTAATTGCCTGGGAAAAGCAGTGGAAGATGGTCCAAGTGTTTGGGTCTCTGCCACCAAGTGAGAGACATGGATGAAGCTCCAGGCTCCTGGCTCCTGGCTTCGGCCTGGCTCAGCTCTAGCCGTTGCAGCCATCTGGAGAGTGAACCAGCAGATGAAAGAGCTTTCTCTCTGTCTTTCCCTCTCTCTGTGACTCTGACTTCCAAATAAATAAATAAATCTTTTTAAAATACATTAAATAATTCATTTAAATTAAATCAATTTACACTTACATACAACCTTTTAAGAGCTGAAATCTGCCTGCTTTATACCTAGCCAACTCACTGTATACTCCTATACTTATTCCTCTCTTATCCCCCAAAAAAGTACAAATGAAACTGTATAACAGGTAGCTGCTTGGAATCCCTCTAATTAATGATACAGTAAGTCTCAAAAGTCAGCTCTCAGTTTTGATTGAACAGCTACTGAGGCCCCATTACCAAAGTTCTTAAAAATCTTCACTTTTCACAAAATTAGGGAATTTAAACAAAAACCTATTTTATTCTCCCAGCTTTAGGCATGCACAAAAGGATATCAAAATTAAATAAATCAATAGGAACCAAGCAAAAATACAATTTGAAATCACAGTAAAGTTTGAAAAGAAAAACATTTAACTCTCATCTTATACATTTTTATAAGTTATCTTTTAAAAAGTTATCCAGTAGAAACACATATAAGAAGGTGTGGGGAAATGCAACTATACTTGAGTAGCAGTATAGGATCCCAAAAGGTTTCAAGGATAGTCACAAAGTTGTGCAGCCATCACCCCACAATGAAACCCCATGCACATTAACGGTCACTTCCCATTTGCTCCAGGCCCTCCAGCCTCCCTAGGAACCGCTCATCAACCTTATGTCTCTGTATATGTGTGTCTCCGTCTCCTGTGGAGGGTTCCACATCAACAGAATCCTACAATGAGGCCAGTTGTGACTGTCTTCCTTCATGTGGCACTGTCTTCTCAAGGTTCGCCAACATCGTAGCGGGGGACAGTGCTCCATTCCTTTTTATGGCCAGATACTATTCCATTGTCTGGAGAGACCACATTTAATGTGTCCAGACATCAGCCGATGGACATTTGGAGTTCCTACTTTCCTGGCTACTATGGAGAAGGCTGCTGTGAACATTTGTGTACAAGTTTTTGTGTGAACATACACTTTCATTTTTCTTGGTTATATACTTCTGGGGGGGGGGGACACTGCTGGCTCATTTGGTAATTTTACCTTGACCTTTTGAGGAGCTACCAAATTGTTTTTTAAGCAGCTGCACCATTTCTCATTCCTATTAGCTATGTATGTGGGCTTCAATTTCGCCATTTCCTTGCCAACATTTGTTATCTGTCTTTTGTATTAGACATCCCAGTGTGCAAAATGGTAATCCATCGTGATTAATGTTCTGCATCTTAAAACAAGCCCACTCAGTCTGGAACGATGGACTCAGCTATTCTTCCATGCTACACTTTAAAAGAAAGTCATACACATACTGGTTATTCTTAAAATCCAAAATAAAGCCAGCTTCCACATAACAGGCACCATTACTCTACCCCAATCCCATCAAACTACTACAACAGAGTCCAACAGTGAGACCTCTCTGAAACAAAACTGTCAGGTCAAACAGCCTGGACAAGTGCAGACACACTGCTGAAATATTTCAACATACAACAACAACAAAGTTTTAGCCAGAGCTTTCAGGAAAAAAGGAAGGAAGGAAGCTGAATTAGAATTCAGATTTGTCGATCACCTATGCATAACCTGATCGATCGCGGAACTTCTCCCCACATCTCAGCAAGATGCTCTTGAGCAGGTCACAGAACTACATGCTCTGCAGTTACTCCCAGACATGAAGCTGCGTGAGCCAGAGAGCTTAATGACACTGGAAAACGTACTAACACCCCCAGATAAAGAGCCAGCCTCGCACAGCAGCCTGGATCTGCGGGTCAGATGGGCAGGTTCAATTTCCAGTTCTGCCACTTGGGAGCTGTATGGCCACAGGTGCATTATGTAGCATCTTTATAATCCCGTTCCCTGATCTGAAGGAAATTCATAATGCCTGTCCCCAAGAAGTTATGAGGATTCATCAAGCGAGCAGAGCCGCCAGCAAAAGGCAGCCTCTTCAAACGCTAGCTTCCACCCATCTTTCTGCTAACTCCGGGCAAAGTTTCCCAGCAAAGAATGCCCTCTTCAGCAAATGCTGTGGACCACAGGGAGCCGAATCCGAGTCCCCGTGAGCTGTGGGATTCCCTTATAAAGCACTCCCCCGCCCCCGCATTACGGTCTGCAAACTGCTGAAGAGGACTACCAACAGGCTTAAAATGAGGTTGGGGGCGGGGGGGGGGGAGAAAGGTTATTGGAAGGGAGCCGGAGATGCAGCGAAGAGACCTCATTCTTGTCCATGACAGTCCACACCTCCCAGGGCTCACAGATAAGCGGGCACTGCACGGGATGGGAAGAGAAGGAAGGAAGAAGAGGCAGCAGTCGCGGGACCCTGGTGGGCAGGGGTCGCAGGTAGCATCGGCCAGGCAGTGGGTGGGGGAGGGGCGGGGCGGGCGCGGGAGGACGCAGACAGGGAGAAGCTGACTCGGGAAGACCCTGCCCTGGGCGTCTCTCGGCCGCCTTCTCCTACCTACCTGATCTGGTTGTCGCGGAATTTGTTGAGATGCGGTTGGTTGAGGTAAATGGTGCGGGCCGGTGCCTCCAGCTGGTCTCCCACAGACGTGGCCCGGGACATCTCATCCTCTGCCTTCTTGTAGCCCGAAGAGCGAACGGGTCCTGCAGAGACGAGGCGCAGGGCGGACAAGGAAACACAAAGGAAGAAGTCAGCCGCCAGGCAGGGGGCGGCCCCCAGCGTGGCGGCCGTCATTAGCTATTGGAGAGGGTCGGGGTCAGCTTCAGCTAATACACGGCAATAGAATGGATGATTCCTCCATAATAACACAGGTTTCATTACCTTGCCCCTCGAAGGGGTAGACTAAGGCGCCCGGGGCTAGGGCCCCGCCGGGGCGCGCGCAGGCTGCGTGCGGGGCTGGGGAGGGCGCGGGCGCGCGGCTGCGGGCTGCCGGGCGATGGCGGGAATGGACGCTGAGGAAGGCGGGCGGGGAGCAAAGCACAGCCCCACGCGGCCGAGCGCCCCAGCCGGTCCCCAGGGTCCGAGCTGCGGAATGGGCTTTTCTGGGCGTCTTTGGGCACGGAGGACCAACAGCTCCGCAGCAGCCAGGGGAGGAAGGGCTGGCTCCCTCCGTGACCCTGCAGGGGCCAGCTGCTGCCCTCCCTAGGTGAGCGCGGTAGCTTCACCAGCCCCGGGCTAGCGGACCAACGCGCGAGCTTGTGTTTCAACTTACTGTTTGGTTTAGGACACAAATCAGCCTGTCCCCTTCAGATCTGATTTCAGTCCTACAGGCGAGGCGCTCTGGGCGAGCTAAGCCCGCATCCCCATCCCATAACCTTCACCCGAGGAGCTGGCAGCGTGGAGAAAGGTACACCCAGGACTCAAACTGCTGGCCGCGCGCGCGCACGCACACACACGACCCTGATCGTCAGCCGCTGGACAATGTCCCTCCACGGAAGGAGCGACCCTCCTTGAGACCTGACCTTCGCGGTCCAGCGTCTGAGGCAAAGGATGGCTGAAAAATAAACGCCCAAGGACGAACCTGATCTCCCCCTTCCCCCTTAAATATACATTCGTTCTAATACCTGTAGTGTGTCCCACCTATCAAAGAAATGAACTTGGCTTCTCATTTTAAACACTGACATCTTCTTTGAATAAACCTCATCCCAGCTACAAAGAATACAGTTGGTTGTCATAGAGATAATTGGGAACAGAAGGTTGTGGCTGGTGTGTGTGTGTGTGTGTGTGTGTGTGGCAGAGACCCATGGAGAGCGCTCCCATCTTCTGGTTCACTCCCCAAATGCCCACAAGGGCTGGGGCTGGGCCAGGCAGAAGCCAGGAGCCAGGAACTCAGTCTCTCAGTCTTCCCAGAGAGGAAGCAGGGACACTGGTGCTTGAGCCATCACCTGCTGCCTCCCAGGGACTGCATTAACGCGAAGCTGGAACAGAAGCCAGGCACTCCCATACGGGATGCAGCATCCCGACCAGAGGCTTAACCACTAGACCAAACACAGGTCCCCTAAATTATCTTTTAAAGTGATTCTAAGGATGGTAATCCAGTTACTGAACTCCGACATACTACCCTGAATGTTAACGAAGGGTTAAGTATGAAGTCACCCCAGGCTAATCTGCTCATTCAAGTGAAAGTCGCCAGGTGGGGTCCCTGGTCCCACACCAAGCACAGCCCAGTTTTCCTCCTGACCACCAGGGTGCATCCACAGCACCCTGGCTGTTTCTCAATGAGGGACCCAATCCCCCACCTTCTTCCTGACGGCCTTCCATTACCTGGGGTCCCTCTGACACCACTACACATTGCTCAGCCCGCTCCCTGCCAACAAGGGGCAGCAAACAGCAAGCCTGCCTACATCCATATTGGCAGAACTACCAGAGAGCCAGGACTCCCGGACTTCAACCAGGGCAGGGTAGGTTTTAGATAGAGCAGTTGCTGACTTAAGGCAGATGGAGAAAAACAATCTTGCTACTCTCTGCCCACTTACGCTGCTTAGTTTTCCCCCACAGCAGTAAGCATCCGTGCCTGACATTGCTGATGGTCTGGTTCACACACCCAGAAACACCGGCCAGCAGGGACATGCTTTGTTCATGGCAGTGACCTCAGCACCGACAAGAGTGCCTGGCACATCACAGGCACTCATGCGTGCTGGCAGAAACACATGGCTTTTACTGGAGTCTTGAAAAGGGTGTCTTGACTTGCACAGGGAGAGATGCAGTGGTGTGCTGAGGGCTCAAGCCACAGACAGGAGTGGGATCAAAATAGCTCACTGCACGGATATTGTTTACCCAGCAGCTCTCAACTCCACCGCACATGAATATTGCCCAGGGAGTGCTCACAGCTTACTAGTTCCTGGGCCCACCCTAGGAGATTCTGAATGCTATTGCTTTGTTTTTGTGTTTTAAGCTCCTTAAATGACACTGATGGGAGCCACAGTTGAGATCCACTAATTAGATGCTGCTGCAAACTGAAAAACAAAGATCTGTCTCCCACCCTCAAAAATGCTAGCTAGTTTAAGGTACCAAGTTATACCCATGGTTATAGTTGTGGTTATGTACACAGGGCAGGACCATTTATAACCAAGGGACAGAGTGGGCCCTGCAGGTGCTAAGGAGGGTGGGTGGCAGGTTAGCAGGCACTGTGTTGCTTCAGGTGGAGAGGTGATGGGAACTGCTTCCGAAGATAGATATGAGAGCCTTATAGTACAGGCAAGGTTTCTATGAGGAAAGAAGATACTGTGAGTACGGGCAAGAGTCTAAGCAAAGGCTCAAGTAGACAAAATTGTTCCAGGAGCCAACTGAAAAAGAACAAAACCAGCTTTGGGGCTCCAAATTGGAAGAGTAAAAAGGAAGCACAGAGGAAATAGCCTTTGGCCAGGTGCTGGCTGGCAAAAAGCAGACAAACAAGTGGACCTCATGCTGCGGGTCACAGGAAGTCATGGGCCATCAGCAGGCAGCTGGATAGGAAGGGGGGGGACTCAAACTGGCACCCATATGGGATACTGGCGCTACAGGTGGATGCTTAACCTACTACACCACAGCTCCAGCCCCGGAAAAATTATTGACAAAAACAAGTAGTGGTAACAGAATGATGTGGATTAGTATCTCCCAAGAACCTAACATGCATCAATATTCACCTTTCTATACTACAACCTGGGAGTTGTATTCTAGGTAGAAATAGAGTTCACACACATACACATACACATACACCTCTAAACTCTGATAGTTTTCCATTTCGGTGGCTTCATCTTGACCTAACCCTGCATTGCAGGAAAACATCAATATTTTCAAAATAACATAATTTTGTTTAAAAAAATGTATTGACTAACAAAACACTATACCATAGATGGCAAAGTACATTGTGACCATGGTTTCAAATTCAGACTCATGAGATTAATTCTAAGTTAATGCATTTTCCAAATATCTCCATACAAAATCAGAGTATTTGCTTACAACACTCCCCCATATAAATAGGCACAGAGTCAGCAGAGAGTGGGAATTCAATAAATATCAATTTGTTGAGAAAGAAACCAAAGTGAAGGGAAAGAATTAGGAAAACAAGAAAAGGCAAATAGACAAACACTGCTTGCCCCCTGCAAAGTGGAAATGCAGACCAGTTGGCAGCCAAGGCCACAGGGCAGGGACAATGTCATGTTCACAGCTATATCCCAGGCACCCTGAAGGATGCCTAACACACAGGAAGCAGTCTGTAAGTGTGTGTTAAATGGATCAAAAGCTAAGAGGCTGATGCAGTGGGTGCCTTTGGAAGCTCCATACCCACTGCCAAGCCACTGACTTCTCACTTATCTGGTAACTGAGTTGCCCGCATGCAAGCCAGGAAGCCTCACAACCTCTCTGCACTGAGCTGTCCCACCCACACACAACAGCTTCTGGTTCAGGTTGGGCCACTAAGAGTCTCTCTTCTGGGACTCGGACAGGAAACTAGCAAAGGCCACCTCTGCATGTGCTGTCAATCAGCACGCACGCTCGGCCTAGAGGGCCATCTTCCCCCACCCAGTGGACCACCAGGCAGAGGAAGGGCTTCTCTTGAAATAAAGAAGCAGCAGGGCCGGCGCCACGGTTCAATAGGCTAATCCTCCACCTAGCAGCGCCGGCACACCGGGTTCTAGTCCCAGTCGGGGCACCGGATTCTGTTCTGGTTGCCCCTCTTTCAGGCCAGCTCTGGGCTGTGGCCAGGGAGTGCAGTGGAGGATGGCCCAAGTCCTTGGGCCCTGCACCCCATGGGAGACCAGGAGAAGTACCTGGCTCCTGCCTTTGGATCAGCGCGCCAGCCGTGGCAGCCATTTAAGGGGTGAACCAATGGCAAAGGAAGACCTTTCTCTCTGTCTCTCTCTCTCACTATCCACTCTGCCTGTCCAAAAAAAAAAAAAAAAAAAAAAAGCAGCAGAACAGTCCATAAAGTATTCTGAGTTCTGGGCCTCACACTCTTCTCAACTCCAGCTACTCTCTGGTTCCAGAAGCCACTCCCTGAACATTCTACAAATTATTCATAACCACATATCTCAACTAATGCAGTAAAAGAACACCCAGAGAACCTAGTTTGCTCTATTAAGATAGAAAAGCAAGGAAGGTTAAAGATAAGGGACAAACTCCCATTCATTTATCGATCACCCAGGATGCCCCAGATGTTGATGCCTCTGGCACAGGTGCTGTTCAGTGTCACTTTCCACTCCTAGGAAGTCCAGATCCAACAGAGGAGCCACTGGAGGCCACATCTGCACCACCTGGTGAGATGGATCACAGACATGGCTGGAAGGTGAATGGCTAAAGAAAGAAGCACCCCATCCTACTCGCCCTGCAGAATTTCTGCCAGGGTTGGAGAAGGAACAGAGTGTTAGGAAACAAGAGACAGAGAATGTCCACCAGGGGACTCTGGAGCAATGGATGGGCGAGGACTGGGGAAAGGGGCAAAGAAGAGGAGACTACTTACAGCAGACTTGCCAGCAACACACAGAAGCCAAAGGGGGCCTGACGGACAAGGACACCACCACCCTGCTGTTCTAGAACCTTCCAGAACCCACCCCCTCAGCCCTGGCTCTCCTGTGTATCTCTTCCCTGCTCTCTTTGCTCATGTCAGAGCAGGAGAAGTATTTTCATTTTACTGGAGGACCCAAAGTCCTCACCATTTAACACA